TTGTTTTGCAGCACAAGGAAGGAGGGTTATGGAGGTGACGGCATAGTGTGTACCTCCGGTATTAGCTACCACCATTATTAACTTCCAGAAATAATTATGCTGAGTGAACAGACCGACCAATGTTTCCTCATGTTTGATGACGATACAGGGATTTTATTCCTGCTTTTTATTTTCCTTTTGCAAGGCCTTCCCCCTCTTAAAATAGCCCCATTTAAGGATGGAAGAGTCCAGGGTGCAGATTAAAATAAGAGAAGGGATTCGCAAAGGCTGAGGCTAATAATTTTGAGTCATTTGACTAAATGATACGCCATACCATCAAATGGCTTTACCCATCAAAAAGGCTATACAAATGGCCTCATGTCAACAAGCTTCCCAAAGAAGAAAGTATTTGCCTCCAGTGAGCCCAATTCAAAGGCTCGTTCCAAGGGGCCCACCTAAACTATGAAATTTCTCTTGTTTCTGCTGTCCTGATGGGGCTAAACTGAGACCAGAGATCTCTTAGCCTTGAAATTTGCCAGCTCTAACCACTGTTTCACTTTCTGAGTAGCAGTAATGGATCATTAGAGGCAGAAGGTAGCACAGGCAGAAGAGGTTTTGGTAATCACCTGGTTTAGAGTTCGTATGATCATTTTATGCAGCTGTTTCCTAAGATGCGCCTCTCTGTCCAGGGGCCCGAATAAGTAAGAGCATGCCGTTTGGGGAAGAGTGGTATCGGTAGCAGATAAGAGGGGTTCCATCATAGAACCAAGGCCACGCATGTTATTTGGCATTCAAGCTCTCCATGACGGGCCCCAGGTAGTGTGAGGCCCAGGGCTGTTCCCTGCATGTGCCTGAGGTAACTCAGGATTCCTCTAGAACCTTCTAACTGGAAGAGCTCTATGCATGGCCAGCCTTCCCAGGGTTTCCCACCAGCCCTGCACATGTAATGGCTTAGTGAGCAGCCCCCAAGAGCTGATGCTGGGAGTTGATCTGCCAACAAAACAATTTTCTAAATCATTCTGGTTTATGGAAGATTTTTTTCAACTGTATACAGTCAGCCTGTGGATGATACCTACTTTGCATGTTTGGAAGTTGTAAATTATTTTCTCATCGAGTCCAAGCTCTCTGATGAAGGCATTTAAAAACATTGGCACAGATAAGGGCTGTGTGTTTGTGTGTGTGTGTGTGTGTGTGTGTGTGTGTGTGTGTGTGTGTGTGTAATGGAGTAAAAGTAGGCTTTGCAGTGGTGTTTACAAATTTAGCTGGACATTAGAATTTCTAGGAGAGCTTTAAAAAATGTAGTCGATTGCAAAAAATGGCCGCCATCTTTCATTCCTCCTTTGGCAAAATGATGGTGCAGCTCTTCCCATTAAGCGGTGGAGTCTCTTTCTACTCCTGTCTCTGTGAATCTGGGCTGGACCTAGTGTAGTTGTCTTTGGTCAATGTACCAGTTTCATGCCCAGGCCTCAAGGATTGTCCAAACAAAAGCCAATCTAGACTGGCCAGTCCCCAGGCATCTTGGGAGCTGACTGCAGATGTATGCATGAGCCCAGCCAAGACCAGAAGAATCACCCCATTGAGACCAGCCCAAATAGACAACCAACAGAGCTGTGAGCTATAACATGGTTATTTCTTTTAAGTCACTAGGTTTTAGAGTGCTTTATTATACAGCAAAATCTAACTAACACACAAATGTTTGAGGTCCACCCCTGTCAAATTTGATTGGTTTGGGACAAGACCTAAGTATCAGTATATTTTAAAAAGCTCTCTGGGTGACTCCAATGTATATACAGAATTAAAAACCACAGTCTAGATGAAGGCGCTTAGTGTTTGATAGGCAGGGTTACGGTGGGTCTTTCATTTAGACCAAAGTTTACCTAGTGGAACTCTTTGAAGTGTGCAGATAGAAAATAATAATCTAAGATGTGACCTATACCAAAAATATAAATATCTTTAAAATATTTTGACAAAAGATCAAAGAGACTTTGGATATAACCTATCCTGACCTAACGTTGTTGGAGAAACTGAAGCCCAGAATGTTAAATGACTTGCTCAAACCCATATAACTAATTGGAGGCAGAGCCTAGATTTCATATGTGGTGTCCCAACTCCAAATTTGTTTGTTTTACTTGATTGTTCTATATGGTAACAATAACGTAATCCTCATTTTAATTTACCACGTGTGACCTCATATGGAATCTGTACAAGGATAATTTTAGGATAGGTTATCTCTAAAGTTTGAATGGGTTAAAAACAAGGCAATCATAGGGCATCCCTAACAGTTTGTGATTGATAACATGAGTGACAGATTTGTTGATTATAAATCAACATTCTGTTAGCGGTAAGAAGTTGCAGTCTTACTAAGCACAGCAACTTTACTGTTCTTTTGGGAGCCACAATGGGATGCAATGGGGGCGGGGGGAAGATGCTTAAGTGTTTCAGTGAAGAGAGAAAGAAGCCCACTGAGCCACATGGTCAATGAATGAAAGCAGTTTATTTGACATTAATTGCAGAATTTACAGCACTACCATTTAATGATAGGAATAAAAATAGAAAGAATCCAGTGTAAGCAACGTTGCAGACAAAACATCAGGGTGGGAAATGAGCAAAATTGAAAATGCATTTAACATTCAAAGAAATCTTCCGTAGGACTGGGAGCCTATCAAGGGGGGAGCAGCCCCTGCTAATGGTGTATTATCCTTGACCCCACCAGGATTTCAGGGCAGCCACTGAACATATACCCTGTTGACCATTCCTGGACAATAATATTTCAGCAGAGTCTGACTTAACATGTCTGAGATGGGGCCAAATCTGGATTATAAAATGCTTTGGAAATATAGCTCAGGGTGAAAAGAAAATACTATGGATTAACTAGGATGTGGGTTTTCTTTTTTACAACAGAAGGGAGTACACATTTTAGGGGTGTGTTTTCCTGATTTTAAATATGAGAGGTGGTGTCAAAGGGATTGACTAAAAGTTTAAAGATTTCCCCTATGATTTTCTTGGAGATCATGTCTGTAAGAGCAAGGAAATAGAGCAAGAGGTATGCATGTGAGTCTTTGCTCTCTTGTCACCTTGGAATCTGGGTAGAGACCTACGAAAGGCAACTGGATTTCTACACAAGGGCTGGGTTTCTGGAAGAGCTGACTTAGAAGCCACATGACAGAGCATAGGTTCTTACAGGGAGAGTTAACCACTCTGTAGCCATGTTACAATGGCTTCGAGTATTCTTTCCATTTTAAAACTTTAAATAGAGCTGGAGCAACTTTTCTCTGTCCCCTCATTTTAGTCAACTTTAAAACTATAAAGTAACCAACAGATTGAAAGAAAGGATTCAAGCCCCACAGGCCAGCATGTGAAATTAAGAGGTGTTCTTAATACCCAAAATAAACACATTGAGCCAGGACTGACTCAATCCTGAGAACAAAAACCAATGAAAGAAAAAGATACTGGAATGTGTTCTCATTCGCTTTGGTGGGAAGATAGTTTCTCTAGTAAGAATTCATTGACCAAGAATGAATCTATAGTACCTGTACTAATAAAATGTAAATTTGGATAGAAATATTAGGAAGGATGAAAAAAAAATGGCCAGGCTATTTCTCTGCAGTCCAGAGAAACACCTTCTTGGAGAAAAGCAAAGGATGAAGAAAAAAAACAATTGAAATGTTGGTCAATTCGTAAATATCCTTGCCCATGAAATTCTTTGGCATCCTAGACTAGGGTAGAGGAGGCTGAACTTCTCTAGGATTGGGGTGGGGGTGGGGGAATAAGATTTAGTGATTGGAGATATGGATTGGAAGAGAAACCAGCGTTAAGATTTTATGCCTCTATCATCTCAGTCTCTGTCTGCCAAACTTAGATGTTATAATTTTGTGAGTGTGAAGGTTGTCTTCCTGTTTCAGGAATTCCAATTTGCCCGGTGTCTTACAGCCGCTTGTGGTAAGATTTAGCTGGTAGCATTTAGACTTGTGTAACACAAAATAACTTCGTAAACAAAGGAAATGATATTCTAGCTTCAAGGAAGTATCTGCTACTGGCTACCTATCCAACAGTCTTTGAGTACTTAACCTTTCTTACCAGGTAGCAGGTTCCCTGTCATAATCTGAAAAATACTTTCCTAGACAATAAACTGACTCTTAAGCTAAATGCCAAATTGAAACAAAGCGAGGAAAATGGGGAGAAACCCTAAATTCTACAGCTTTTTGGATAGGACTTTCAAGCAGAGATAAAGTATGTATTGATAGGTCATTTTCTTGGCGCAATAGCTGTGGTTCAGCCTATCTCCTAAGCAAGATCTATGGCATGGCAATGTGCATGGCCTAGAGAGGAAGTGGGGTCACCTTTTCTTGTATTTTCCCAGATCAAAGAACTGGGAGTAGGCAAAATATAAATTAGAAACAAAATGACAAAAAAAAAAACCAAAAACCCATCTATGCCTTCCTTTGTTTTCCAAATAATCGTCTGCAAAATTTATAGATGGAATTGCTAAGTGGGATGCAGAGGAAGAGTGGTAAGGGGGGGGGTTTCTGATTTGGAGGAGCCCACTGGATTGTGGAGACCCAGACCTTTTGTAGTCAAGATGGAGGAAGACACCTTCAGTGATGGCACAAGTAAAGCCAACCAGATGCACCATCCACAGCCCTGGCTGGTGGAGCCCAGCTTGGGGAGAGGTGAGTGTCTGGTGGGCTACAGAAGATCCAGGATTGCTATTTTCTCTTCTTGCCTTTCCTGTAAGAATTGGGGCCTGCCATCATCCTGGCATGTGCTGAAGGCCAAGGGATCTCAGACCAATGTTGGGATCAAAAGAGAGTGAGGTTAGAAAGTTTGAGCCCAGCTCTCTTTAAAGCTGATGTCGTGGAAATGTCTTCCTAGGGCCAAAATCTACCTTTTTGCTCATGCCCTGTCATTTCCCAGGCCAGGCCCACATTCCCCCATGAGAGCAAGAGTGAAATCCAGGCCACGCGGAGGTAATTCCATAGTTCTGTGATCTCCAGGGAAAGGACATCCACGGGCACAAAGCATTGAGTAAAAACCCTTTAATAACAAAATAACATTCACGATGTAGCTACTTCAGTTGTCTGGAGAACTCAGCTTACACTTGATTCAACATCACTTTCCACAAAGTTTTTTTTTTTAAAAAGAAAAGACATAAAATGGCATAACAAAATAGACCTCGAGTTTCATAAGACAAGTCTTCTTGGCAAATCCTAGTGAACCAGACCCATGTGTTACTTGGAATCAAAAGGGCTGGGTACGCTCACGTCTCAGACATTCCTTTGGGTGGAAAACGCATTTGAACCTTGTAGATCCTACAGTGTCTGCACCAGGGGGAATGGTAAGTGGGTTGGTGAGTGAGAGGAGAACGTGACTGAAACAAATATCGATTCGGTTTATTGCAGAGGAACACATAAAGCTTTCTGGAAGATTAAACACTATTACAATCATTAACTGTCTTACAAAAAAATTCTTGTATCCATTCCCATCTTTGGCAGATTAATAAGGGGAAAAGTTAAAAAACAAAACTATATTACAAAGCTTTCATGATCACAATCTACTTTATAAGGCCAAATAAAAAGGTTTCTTGGTATTAATGAAAGTGTATTCCCAATATATTCTCATTGGAAGGTAATACGAATGCTCTATTGTTGGTGGTTTCCAGTAGTTTGCACAGCAGACTGCTGTGTTCCCACCACTGTGTCCTAGCTGCAAAGTGTGCTTGGCGGTTGATTTGGCTTTATGTCAAGTGTATTGGTTTGGAAAATAGGTATGAAACTTGAGAATGGGTCTCAGAACCAAAATATAAGAAAGTTTGCCCAATCCAATGCTACTGAAAAATATTTTTGGAGGCCTTAGCTACTGGGACTTGAAACCAAGATGGTTTTCCTAAACTAGGTTTTAATACTTCTTCTATCCCCTTTAGTATAGATGTAACATTGTTGGGCAAGAAAGACTAAGTTAGAGTCATCTCTGACTCTAGGGAGGGAGAACCACGATATGGCTGCACAGGTGATATTTTGGGGAACGGCCATCTATTTTTGCCCAAATCACTGGGATAGTCAGTGCAGCTATCCAGGAGAATGGACAAAAAAGCCAGAGAATAAATGATTGATATTGATGCCATTTGAGTTTCTATTGGGAATCACCTGATAACAAAATACTGGAAGAAACAAAGCACAGTCAAAGTGGCCATTCCCAAGCAGAGACCCAGGACAGGGTAGAGCTAGATGAATTCACATCTCCATACACATGGCCAGTTAGGTCCGAGGTCAAGAACATAAAGCCAAAATGACTCCTTTTAGTGGACATTAAAAATGCAGAGTTGAGCTGCTTTTCAATGCTTGTTTCCAAACCCCTCTCGCACAGAGTGAGACAACTGGGTTATGAGGGTCCCAGTTGTGGCCGGCAAGTTGGCTAATGACCTTTTCTATAAAATTTGAACTCGATTCAATCTGACTCATTCCAAAATCCCAACAGGTGGAAAGGTATTTTTGAGGTGAGACATCTCCCAAGAAAACCAATATTACCACTGTCTGAGGCTGAACTGTGTACATTTTCACAGTTTAATGTATACACAACTGTTCCACAACTGCTAACAAACAATTGGCGCCCATGCATAAATAAAGTCCATTGAACCAAAGGGGAAGATCTAGTTCAAAATGAAACGTTGCTATTAAGACCACAATGCATCACACTGCTAATTTTTTAGCCTCATGCATAAAATTATAGCACTGATTGGCAGTTGCTAATTATAATACTACACTGTTAACACAGAACAATTAATTGTTCAGACCAAGTAGCACAAATGTAGAAAATAATTTTTTTTTTCAACAGAGCAAATGAACACAGATTGTTTCTTCAGCAAAATATGAAACTGTAAACTTTGGGCTCATTCTGCAACTTTCCCCAATCCAGAATAAATAAAAATCCAAAGGGGAAAAAAAAAAGAACATACATTTTTTTTTTAAGCGCACCTTTTTGTCTATTACAAAAGCACAACCTAAAACGTATAAAGCTTTTTTTTTCTTTTTTCTTTTTTTAAATCACAGTTACCAAAAAGAAACAGTGAATAATTTATTACATACGCTATAATAACATTACTCTAAACACTATTATCTATGAGGTATATCTGAGAAAATTCGGTAAGGAATTGCGCGGCCTGCATTGCCAACATGCCCAGGTTCATATTAAAGCTTTGGAACCGTGAAGAACTAGAAAAGGGGAGAAGGACGGGGGAGCAGAAGAAGAGACACAGAGAAAGAACCTTTGGTATTAGTACAAATCTTGTTCTTTGCAGGGTTGCATTGCAAAGCACCACAGTACAATAAGCCCACCAATTTACTGTATGGAGGCCCAGTTGAAGCTGAGGTATTCACAGGAAGGATTAAAAAAAGCACAGAGAGGTCCAGACTGGCTAAATCGTTGCTTTGGTTCAAGCAAGGCACTCGTCCCGTGGTTATGTCACACTTTGCAAGTGAAGCATGAGGCTGAGGGGGGATTGCGGAGGAGGGGTCTGCCAATTGGGGATGTTTTCTGTGTTCAGGCTGCCATGGCTCTCTTTAGGTTCCCTCTTGTAGGGGCCTGTTGGTAGGAAGACGGGGGAGGTGGTATTTGCTTAGAGAGCTCTCTGCTGCTCAGGGATCAGATCTTCTTTGTTGTGGCTCCCAGGTATCCTGAGAATTCTATTTCCAATAGGAATTGGGGAAGAAAACTAACACAATTTGCTGTTTGGAAGGAAGGCCTTACAAGCTTGCCATGTATAAGGGGAAGATGGAGTCTTGAGCTTGCTTGGACAGGAGAGAATGTTCACATATGTCAGTATGGTGCTTGGAAACTACAGAAAGGGGATGACTATTCTCTAAAGTCGATCAGTCTCTCTTCTAAATTCCTCTACTAGCTGCACTCCATTGAGGCATGAAACAGATGCATTGATTGGTCTTTCCCTTTCCTAGCTCCTTTGTTTCAATACGGTCTCTTGAAAAGCTCAAAGATAACTGCATCACGTGAAAAGCAAAATACTAGCACTCAGTAAAGAGCTATGCAGGCAGGAGGCGGATCTTTGCATGTGTCTAAAACCCACTTGGTCAAAAGCTGAGAATGATTCATTGGCTAACATAAAAATCACTCTGATGAATGGATCTTAACAGTGACTTAATCATTTAATGAAATCAAAAGAAGACCAATTAATTTCATGACTAAGAAGGGAAGAGAGAAGCAACTTGCAGTCATCATTTCTTAAACTGGCTTGTCTATTCCTCTGAAATTCTGGGGTCCTCTTTGATTTATAGTGAACAATCCTTTAGCACCCACTGATGTAAGGCTTAATCTTCTCTCATAAATACAGAGTTGGCCTAGAAACACAATATAAACACCTCCAAGTCAAGAGGAAAAGGAAAAAGCTGAACAGCTTAAATGTCACAAGTGATCAAATTCCCTTTCTCTGATAAATACCAACCTAAAAATATCCATAATAATTAAACTCAACAGACCAAGAATGAACTTTCTCTTCTCACTCAATGGAAAGTGTACACACCACACACACACACACACACACACACACACACACACACACACACACAACCACTTTATAATGGGAAGCTTCATCAGGGCAAAAAGCTCTCTAAAGGCCCTAATATATTTCAAGGCTGGCCACCTTTACAAGCAACTGGCTATATGTGGCTATCTGTTGAGGTTCTAACTTGTCATTGAAATGCTGTGATTTTCTTGACCATCTGAAAATGTTCAGTGATAAGCCCTATTGCTAAAGGATTGCCACCTTCCTCTTGGCCAACCCACAGCCCGTCTCATGCAGAGATAGTGCTGAGCGATGGACACAGCACTGGAACAGGCGGCAGGAGGCCTGGCTCTGTGTAGCTCTTCAACGCAGATAACTATTTCACTCCTCCATGCCTCTGCAGGTTGGACTAAATGGTTGCTAAGGTCCCTTCCAGCTCTCTGATTAGGTTTTCAGTGATCAGGTTTTCTATGGTCCAGTAATAGGAAATATTTACTGCGATATCGCCAAAGCGGGGACAAGGTCATGGCTAGAACAGAAGGCCACTTCCAACCAGTCTTCTTCACCCATTGGGAATTGGAACTTAAGGAATCCAATTACAGCAGCATATGAACTTGCCTCCCAAACATGTGGGGACAGCGAATAAATGAGAGAAACACAGAAAATATCCCTTTCCCAATTAGCAGCCGCCGTCGCATAGATAATTCTTTCTTTGGGGTATCTGAGCTGTGGCTGTACATACCATATGTCAGAGAGAATAGTTAAAATTATAAAAGAGCACAAGCAAAATGCAGACCGCACAGAGAAAGAAATCTTTGGTATCTTTGGTGTCATCAACACGATTAAAATTACAAATGGAAAAAGTCAGTGAGGTAGCCTTCTTTGGTTCTCACTAGAAATAGAAAGTTTTTCCTTTTTTTATTTTCTTTTTTTTCTGCTTTTTTTTTTCTTTTCGTTTTTTGTTTTGTTGTTTTACACACACAGAGTTCATTCTTGGAAGCAGCTAGTGTAAGGGTTTCTCTCTTTTTGCTGTTATGATTTTTTTTTAAATGTATTTTTCCAGTTTCTGTATAGAAGCCCCGAAATCCAGGCTGGTGAAGCAGGGTCTCGGCTTATAATTTCTGAATGCACAGGTTCAAGTTGAATAGTCATTGCTTGTCCACAAACATTGCTCTGTTGTTCTGACAGCAAACAAACTGCAGTGCTCTCTGTTGTTTTAAATAAAAAATATAAACTATACAGTGCACCTTTCGCAGATGCTGAATAAGTTAAATAAATAAGTTACATTATGGAGGCTCTGCGGGCCCCAATAATTAAAAGGTGAAGTTCGCCTGGTACCAGGTTGGGGTGCGAACTTAAATAATTTAATAATTGTTATTTAAACTACTTTCAAAGTTAATTCAAGAAGGAAACATACCTCGGTTTTTTTTTTCCTGTAACTTGTATTTCTTCCCTGTCTGTAACAGAATTTCACTGCTTTATAAAGCAAACGAATTTTCAAGATAATTCTAAGAGTGGATTTTGCATCTCTGATGCACCATTGGTCTAGGTTTTGATAAATAAGCACAAGGAGTAAAATCAAACTAAGGAAGGATGATTAAATAATTATCAAAATCCTATACATTTCTGTGCTAGAAACTAAATAAATTAATTACAATGGTAGTTAGCTTGTTGGGTCATAACCCAAAGAGACAAGAAAAAAAAAATGTTCCTTTTGACTGTCGTCATTTTTTGATGGACAAAATGTACAACCTCTCTCAATAGTCTAAAAGAAGGTAAAGTAGGAAATTATAACCTCTAACACTTTCTCTGTTCAGAAAGACCATTTAAGTGACAAGCATGAAAACAAAATCACCACTTCCCCTCTCTAGCTAGCGTACCCCCACAATACCATGTCACCATCGTCTCAACCCTGGAAACCAGAGCCCATTTTTTCCCTATTAGTTTGCGCTTTATTTTGCTATTTTTTTCCTTCTTTTTCTTTGTGTTTTTTTTTTTTTGTCCCTTTTCAGGTCTTTGGATTTAGCTTCAGTTATGAGAGATCCAGAATAAAGCTATTCAACCGAAGTCATCAAGCATATGTATCATTCTTACACAGATGATTAAATAATATCCAAGTTTTCTTGAAAGTTGAATTTATCTTGGATGTGCCCAAATGAAAGTAATTCCAAGTGTACACAAGGAAGATGCTGGGATACTAGTTTTGTTTTCCTCCCCTTTAGCTTTCAATGTTACAATAAATAATCAAAACACTGTACATTGCAGAAGCACCACATACATGTGAAATGATCATTTAAAATTTATTTATTGTAACAGATGACAGTATATATGTATGGAGATGTCTGTGCACGTGTTTCTATGCACAGTCTAGAAACGCATGGATAATGTGTGTTGTTATAAGGACACCTATGAGAATACACATTGTATCTAAATAAATCTGTATCCATCCAAGCTGAAAGACTGTATAAGCTTTAGGTAAACTTATCTGCCAAGGTTTACGCTATCTGAAATGCCTGCTGCTAAAGATGGAGCCGAGTGGAAGGCTTCCACGGATGAACAAACCTGCCACAATGTGTTTTTTTCCTATACATACGTTCTCTACTAAAAAGGTATCAGCTGGTTAATTCCGGTCAACCAAAACCAAAACCCTGTAAGGAAAAGCTTGGGCTCTAGTTTTAAATTGCCTCAGACTGTCAAGAGTCATTTTGGTGTCTGAGAACAATAAGCATTTCCGGTCCCTGTGAGATTCCTGCAACAATAGCTCATCCACCTCAATTATAAGCTTTGTATCTACCTATGTGAGCCCTGTATTGTTTTAATAATCATTTTTGTATTTTATAATGCATTCTGAGACTTTCTGAAACAATACACCCTCCCTGCCCCTGGAAAGAAACAAATCATGAATGGAAAGCAGGCATTGGGACACCCATATTTAAAGCCAATGTCATTAACTTGATGAGATTTTTACAACAAATTCAGGTGCCCCCTTCTTCCTTTAGGAAGGATTTTGTAGTCTTACTTGATAACTAGAATCTCCTGCTATTTTAGAGGTGACTTGGCCTCAAAGGTACAAAACTATTCATCTGTCCAGCCTTGCAGGTAAATATCAGGAAGTTATAGGCGTCAGCTGTGTCGCTTCTCCATCTGCCGTTTCCCACTCACTCTTCCTGGCGAGGCTAACAAGTCTGAAACACACAGCAGCACCAGCAGCAGCAACAACAACAAAAAATCAGCTCTGATCTGTTAGGAATCATGACAGTTATCTTCACAGTACTTGTGTCTGGGCCTTGGGGTTAACCTGGACCACGTGTATCACCTCCTTTTCTCTCCTTTTTCTTAGAGGCCAATATTATTCAACAACATTATAACCCAGCTTATTCTTTTTATAGTTTTAAAAACTCCTACTATGCAACTTCCTGAAAATTAGACTTCACCGCAAAGGTGTATTGTCCTCCCACTATGGTTAACAGTAACTACACAGCCACTTTTATAATTCTACCAGCATTTTCAAAAGTGAGGGCGCATCCCCCCTGTATCCAGGTGGTAGTAACTTTTTTATAAATCTGTTCAACTTTAATTTATTGGCACGAATAAATGGATGCCGAGCATAGATAAGGTAAAATGGATGGTCATATAAAAAGTATTTCTGTTTGGCTTTGAAATACTTGGTTTGACTTACAACAATGCATGCATATATACGTGTGTGTGTGTGTGTGTGTGTGTGTGTGTGTGTGTGTGTATGTATCAGATTTACCGTCCCAATTTTTATTTTATTTTAGGTAGGAATGAAAATCAACTGGAATTTCCTAAACCCACAATGGCCAAGAGCCTGCAGGGGCAATGCTTTAATCAACATCAAGCTGGGTCCTTCACGACTCATTCTTGCCTGTACCTTCAAGTGGCATGGTATACCTACACACTACATTTTGGAAGAGCCTCTGAGATGGGGCTTGAGTTTTTATTGTTGTTGCTGTTTTCCTTTAAAAAAGAAACATATTGACTCTTTTAAAAACATTCCTGGAATGAAAGAATTATATCCCCGGTACCCAAATCACATTGAAAACAAAAGTAAAGCAAGCGTATTTACCTAAAGGAAAAAAAAAAAAGTAGTTGTCCACTCAATAGCCTTTGGATTTCTGTTGCCTCAAGAATGTGTATTTTCATTCAGAACTGTCCCTTCACCCTGTCCCTTCCATTGTTGATGGCTGAGGCATGCCTGGAATTTTTCTTGGATTGAGAAAATGGATCCTAGACTATGACCAGGACCAGACTGTTATTTTCTCTGAAATTAGTAAATTAAAATAAGTTTTAAAAATACACGAGGAAACTCATGCATGGGTCAAGTTCCATTATCTTTCAATTTGCAGGATTTTTTTTTCTTTCAGATTTTTGACGAATTGACCTTCTGTACGGCTTAAAATTTTGATACATAAATATAGAGATACACACATGTATTTATGTATGTATGTAATTTTTTTAAAGCAAGCATTTCTCTCTGGTATGACATTATCTGGTATGAGACATTTGTCAAAAGTCCTTGGAGGGAAGTTCTTGCCTTTTTTACATTATGCCATTCTTCTCAGGAGACCGAAGGCATACATGACTACACCTGGTTTGACCAGTGTTAAAATCTCAGGCCACAAAGGCAGCCTCTTTTTGGTTTAGACATCTTCAGAGGATGCCAGAGACCCAAATGCTGAGATTAGCATGCCGAAGAATCACTAATCAAACCAAGCAGGCTTGGTTCCTGCATCTACTCTCGATAAGAACAACCATTTCCACTGGCCACAAGTCATAGAGATTCATTCGGGAATAACACAAGTTGTAATTCCTTTTTATCAACCCATATGGAGGACTCCCTTGCTGAAATATGCTCTCTTTTTTTGGTCATTTGACAAAGGAGACATGGACTATGAGAAAGAGACACAGGGACGTCAAGGAACATCCCCAGGTAGGATGAGTGACAAAAGCCATGGAGTGTCACGTTCCCTCATAGCTTCATGGCTGCTGCCCCTGCAAAGGAAGACCCACACGGTGGGAGCAAGGAGACGGGACAATGGACAATGGAACTCTTAGGACAGGACTCTGAGATCCTCCCCAAACCCTGCTTTGTGTTTTCTCTTTAGGACTGAGGACCCTGTCTTCCCCCAACTAACACCACTGCCTCAACCCAGTGCCAGCTGTGCTGCACACAGGCTTGTCTGTACGAATTGGCAATTACCACCCTGAGGAAACCTGATCAACCCATTGTAACAGAACTTGGACTTCCCCTCTGAGAGGTACCTTTGGTGGATCTTCTCACTGAGGAGGGTCTGAAACACCCTGATGGGACAGGAAAGCTCCTGGAGAAGATTTCGGGGCTGGCCTCATCTCCAGAACTGGGGGGAAGGGACCACTGAGCCTTCCCAACAGTTCCGGAAGATGAGCACCCCACTGGCCTGGCCCAGTTTGGGGCCAGGTCCGGTGGATGGACCTCAACTCACCACCTTGATCAATCTACGGTTGAGGCATAGATTAGAGAAGACTCCAAATACCAATAAAACTCATTTGCACCATGGATCTATTTACCAACAGCTTAAGTGCTGAAATACTTGAATTTGCCTTTCAACCTTTCCCAGGAATTTTCACAGAAATCTGAATCCTCCAAGTCATCCACAGTGGCAAATGAACTTTGAGATGGCATGAGAAATGAGCAAAATTCTGAACTGAATACTTAATAAATGAAGCACGTGACAAGAACAAGACATGTATTTGGACCGCAGTAATTCCGGGTTATCACCAAGGTCAAGTTGAATCTATATATGTGTTCATATATCATATATATATCTTTCTTTAGAAATGCAACTTTGCAGCTGATTTTTTAAAAAGCTAATAGAAAAGTAGAAACTGGCAATTATTTTCACATGTCGCCTCCTCACCCCCAAATGAAGCCCTGTTAGGATGTAGCGATCATATGAAGAGGCTGTCAATTCCTCTATAAACTCTTTGGTTCTGTGGCTCGGGTGAGGATGTGTCACCAAGACCCCTAACCCTGACCCTCACTCCCCTTCCCTCCCTTGAGGATGAGACTGAACATAGAAGCAACCAAGTCTAAGGGATAAGCAAAGAACATTCAAGTGATAACATGACTCCCCACACTCCGTGGAGCAGAGAGAAGAGAATCGTTCAGTATCCCAACATCTTGAACTTGGGAGTCCATGGAACCTTTAGAGAGATTCCATGTTGGGGTAGAAAGCCATAAAATAAAATTAAAGGGAAACAATAAAATCAAATAAATGACCCTTTCCTTTTGTTGCTCAGAAACAAAATTGATTACCTTTACACAGATCAATGGCGCTATTAGTATTTTAGCCAGGCAAGAGGAGATAATGAACTGAAACAAAAGGTGTGAGAAATCCTCATCTTTGGTATTGTAGCTGTTGAGGTTTCTGTTGCTCTGTTCCGTGTTCTTTTGAAAAACTGCATAGGCACAAATTAAAGACAATCTTCACCTTTAAGATTACCGTATGAGTTGTCAAATGAAGCAGCAGCCACGGAGGCTTTTCTTTATTTCAATTCTTGTCTCAACCCTTTCTTTAAAATCTGCTTCCAAAAAATGTCCCAAGAGGTCTGTTAGAACACAGTGTGTCTCGCTGTTTTCTTGTGTTTTTTTTTTTTTTCTGGCGTGCTTCCTTCTTGTTGGTGGTGATTTTTCATTGATTTATGTGTTTACTTATTCATCTTAATGGGACAGTTTTGTTTGTTGCAGAAGTAGGTGCAGAAAAAGTTTCTTTGGTTTCGATTAAGTAATTCATAAAAAAGTCAGTCTCAAGTGTCTGTAAAGAATCATTGCAGCGTTTGGCTTGCTTTGAACACCCCCATGGTGCCCACCTGGGGCCATTCACTGGTAAATATGCACATAGTGACCTTCGCAATCTCCCAGAGTTCTGTGGGCGCACTCCTGCTTGCTGTGGGAAGGTGACAGCCAGGAACCAGAGCTGGCGTGGCAAAGCCACTCCCTGGGTGGCTTGGCTAAAGTCCTCAGCGGAGCTGGTCCGCTCAGCCTGATGGTGAGCCAAATGCAAGAGCTGAATGCCATTTGGAGTTGCAGAGGTTTTTTGATTTCTAAAAGTAATCACAGTATTTTTAGGCTAGAAAATGGCAAGTAATAAATGTCTTTGGTTTGCAGTATTCTGCTTCTTTGGTGTGCTGTGTTTTCTCCAGTTTGATTCAGCTGTTTTGCTAGGATGACTCAACAATGGAAGAGATTTAGGACAAGATGACAGTCATGATAACATATACGGTGATTTGAATTACTTTTTTTTTTTTCTTGCTAGAAAACACTGAAAATGTCCCTACTGATGGGATGGACGTGGGAACAACCCAAATTTGAAAGAGTGAGAATGAATTACCTGGTGGTCAGAATGCACAATAGGAGGAACCAGGTGACTAATAATAACCAAGAAGGATACATTAATGATCTAAAAAAATCTAGATCTTTTAAAATGCTGCATTTGCTCCGTGTACCGTAACAGTTAAATTGGCCTCCTGAGTGTGCGTCTGCATTATGTACAAACAGAATTTGTAGCAAACTGCAAAATGTGCTTGAAGCCATATTCCCAACGATTCCCTAATGACTTCACAATCGGTGTCTTGAAAATCCAGAAGTGGTGACTCTAGAACCTTCCTTACTTCTCTGTTGATCTTCGTTGTGCTTGATACTTTGAGCTCAAGTGAACTGATTTGTTGTTTTGATGGATCCAAGACCAAGTGAGATTTCCAGGAGGTAAGGAAAAGAAAATTATAAACTGGATCAACTTAATGCGCTCTAAACCATTCAATGAAAAGATGCCTGAGTTGTCAAAACAGGTCCTTGGATTTTTTTTTTAAAACGTCCATATTTAAAACTTGTGCTCAGTAATTATCAATCTGATGTTTTTTATGTTGTCGCTGTGAACATTGGTGTACTGTGGTGTGATGAGGCTAAGCACTTGGAAAGCAAATGAGGTCATTCTGGTTGCTAGATTCTCCTCTTAGTGGAGCATCTCGGGAGCCCAAACTCAGGCCAAATTCCCACTGTTAACTCGTGGGAACTCTGACTGCAAGAGGTTGATAGGACCCAAATTGGGACTGTTGACATCTTAAGCAATCCTGAGCTTGGTTGACACCACCCTGAAATGAACTTGCTCCAGGAAGGCCCCATTTGAGTTTCTGGGATGCTTAGCATGCTCAGAGGACAATGTCCGGTTCAAAGAGATTTATTTTCAGCTTGCACTTGGACTCCATAGCCATTAAAAACAAAACAAAAAAAAGGACACCTGGCCTATGATTACAGCTAGAATAGAACTTTCTTTTCAAGAGAATTGTGCTTTCAAATCACCAGTGAAGGGCCCCAGCCAAGAATCCGGTGTCTTTTTCTTTTGTGTTTTCTTTTGGTATCGGTTGTCCTCATTGGAGGTGACTTGTGCCCAGCTGAGAGTCCTCCCATCATGCTTTGGTACAAGTGCTGGAGGTGGACGAGGAGCCCGCTGTGCTCAGGTCGTCCTGCCACTTTTCCAGGCTGCGGCGTCGGGCGTTCATGAAGAAGTTGCTGACTGTCGTGAGCTCCAGGCCCAGCTGCTGAGAAATGGTGATTTGCATCTCTTTAGATGGGCGTTTGTTCTCCTTGAAGATGGCAAAGAGTGTTCGGCGTTGGAGGTCGGTGAACACCAGGCGGGATTTCTTCTGGGAATTGTTCCTGTCTTTGTTTGGTTCTTGCTCTTTGCGCTTGCACGCTGGAAGGGAAAGAGAAGGAGGCGAGAGTCAGTCCTTGCCCCTGAGAAGGTGATCCATTGAAAACATTGATGAAGTCATACAAGGGGATGTAAACCGTTAAACTTTATTGTGCAAATTGCCCAGCTGTCAATAACCAGCCTTCCCAAGTTTGTCTCCAGGTGATGGAAGGCATCAGTTAGGTGGGGAAGGAAGGAAGGAGAAAATAGGGCTGTTTGACACAGTCTGGTTTGGCATCAATTGCTTTCTCTTTCACCCCACTCCCCACCCCCCCAGCACACGCTGAAAATTCTTTATCTCTGAAATCAGGTGCTGTGAAGGGAGTGATGACTCCAGGTCCCCAGGGGAAGCCTAGTTAGGCAGTTCCTCTTTCATAGTCACCCTCTAGAATTGTTTACAGCTGAGCTGAAATTACTTTCTGGAGTCAAACTTAAAAGTGTGTAATTTTTCAAAATCAAAGCTTCTACCCATGTGACTCCAAAAATTGTTAACAGAATGAAATTAGAAGTGACAGGATGATGGTATCTTCCCGACCCAAATCCCCTTCTTTCAGACTTGGAAAATTAGGCGCAAAACAACAACAACAACAAAAAAAACCCAGGGAAAGACGATGAAAATATTGGTTTAGGCAATTCTAATTTGGCTAATCTGAAGTGAAGCCAGAACAAGAAGACCAGGGCTGAGGGTGGTGGACGAACCCAAATTTACGACGACAGGCCCTTAGGGTCCTAGAAACTGGCAATTAGTATATGCGGAGTCTCTGAGTTAGCAGATGTGTCTCCACATCTGGAATGGCATATGCAGCCAGGACATTAATTTATGTGTCACTGCCTCTGCCTTCCCGGACAAGTTCTAGAAGGCAGGGGATCAGGTCTGTGTGCTACTCCCACCTAGCTCTTTCTGGGGCATGAACATAAATGAATGCTTGAGACGCTGATGACAAGTGGGGTCTTGGCGCTTTCAGGGATGGACACTCGGCAGACAGATTTGGCCTCAGCAGAGTGACTTGTAAGGGTTAAATAACACAGCGCATACAAGTCACACATTTCAACATGAGAAACACGTGTTAAAAATTACTGGGGAGAAACCCCAGCTCACTCCGGAGTGTCACGCAGCCCCAGCAGCGCTAATCCGGGAAAGGCAGGGAGCCAAGGCCCAGCACCGAGTACTCTTTCCCCAAAGCAGATCCTATTGGACATCCTGGCCCCAGGTTAAGGATGTCTTTGTACTGGACTGATGTTTCCTCCAAGGCTAGCAGTTTGGGGTGCTGCCTGGATGCTTTCCTGCACTTCTCAAAGCCCTGGTTTGCAAGTGTTGCTTCCGAGCCCTGGGTCAGGGCATTTCCTGCTTGTTGGGTTCTGAGGGAGAATTGTGTGGCAGGCCGCTCTCTGCGAAAGTTTGGGGGTCAGGGGAACAGGCTTCATACTGAGGGGTCTTAGGATTTTAACCTGGGGACCAACCCTAATAAAGAAGATACTGTGGAAGCTGAATTCCCCCCAACACACACACACACACACACACACACACACACACACACCACCTTCCCCCAATTGGTCAGTCGTCCAGGTGGGTGCTGTCTGCCATAAAGGAATCCCTCCTCAGATAAATGAAAAGTGACAACACTTTGCTTTGCTAAACTCTTCCTGACTTTTCCTTCTTTCACTTTGAACAATAAAAGTAATCCTATTATCTTTGAATTTTAAACACACACACACACACACACACACACACACACACACACACACACACACACACANACACACACACACACACACACACACACACACACACACACACACACACACACACAGAGTTTCCGCCTTAAAACCGGTCTTCTGAGGGATGTGGACTTCTCAGATCAGACACGCTCCCCCTGCAGTGGGAACTCTGAAAGGGCTGAAACAGCAGACAGGTACCCTTCTCTCACAGGCGTTCCCTGCTAAAGGTTTCTTCTTGGTTCATCCATGCAAAGACCTTACATTTTTGTTGGGTGATGTATGTTTACCAGAACCTTATTCTCTGACATATTCATTCTCATGCTATCTCAAGTTTTCTACATCTTTAAGGTGCACGGGGGTCACCTAGAGAGATGATTCAAATGAAGATTCTGAAGCAGTCGGCCTGGGCCTGGGCAGGGGCCTGAGAATCTGCATTTCTAACACGCTCCCAGGTGATGCTGCTGGTCCACATGCTTCAGTTTGGCGACTAAGCGTCTACGTGAGTTCTAAAGTCTCAGGGGAGCTGCGATTTTCGTCAGATGGAAAGCTCTGGGGCCCAGACATGCCTGGATTCAAATCCAGCTCCTTCACCAACAAGACTGGGGACCTCAGCAAACTGCTTCACCTCTCAGTGACTGCCTTCCTCATCTGAATAAAGGAAATAATTATGCTCCCCTCTGTAGAGGCCTCTATGAGGTAATGTTATGTAAATGCTCCCTTCCTGCCCGCACTCTCATGGGGTACCCCAGTAATCCTGAGGTACATACGCAGGCAGAATTTTCATTGTAAAACAACATAAATGGAGACTCAGAGGGGCAAGGGGTTGACCTGAGATCACATTCCAAGTTTGCTGCAGACCCAGGGACACGTATCCAGTCCTTCCATCTCTCCATCTTTCTCTACAGAAATGGCGCCCATGTGCTGGGCACGTTGGAGGGGACCTGTGTGTCGGGCAGCCTCTGGCGCCGCACCAATGATTCTGATTCTCACCGTGTGGGACAGGGTTCTGGAGTGTGTGCTTTTACAAAGCTCCTTGGCCCTTTGAGACATGGGAGCCAGTATGCTTGACGACACTGCCACGTCAGGTCCCCAGACTATTTTCCCTGCCCTAACCTCGTGGGACGCCTGGTATCCACCTGCAGCTGGAGGATTCTGAATAAATAGTGGTATATAGTAGTCTCCTGATAACAAAATCTGGGCAGATATCTTCTAGAAACATTAGCTGAGGTCCTCTGTCAATTTGTGCTCCTTTGGATTCACCATACAGTCCTCAATTTGCATGCCAGTATTGATTATTCTTCAGATAGTGCTTCATTTATGCTTTTACTAGGGTGTTTAGACAGTGCTGGTGCATGTCCACATTGGCCTGTCAGATTATATTTAGAGATGATATGTGGAGCATATGGAGATTATATATGTATGTACACACACATATACACATACACACAATACACACACTTAAGAGAAAAATGTTAAAGGCTTAACATTCAGCAAATTGCAAAGAAAGAACACATCAATAGATCCCGTGTCTACCTTCCCAACAGCTTCCCAAAGCCACCAGATTCCACACCAGCAAACACCAAGCTGTTGCCTGTGGTCTGCAAATGTACCAGTCCAAGAGCCCCAAACAATGACGCAGGAGGTCCGGAGCCTGCCCTGTCCTTACAGCTGGCAGTGCCACCCCACGATTCTTCTCTTTCTCTCTCTCTCTCTCTCTCTCTCTCTTTTTTTTTTTTGTCTGCTATAAGGCACTTATTTCTTCACATGTTTCAAAGAGTCAGGTGTGTATTCCACCCCGACGGGTACAGAAATAACAAACAATAACAGTATTCACCGCACAAATCTTACAAAAGCACTTGGTCAGGAGTTGAAGGACATTAAAACCCAGAGAGGGAACACCTGCTTTGAAAGTTTGAGACTGATCGAATGATGTCTGGAACCTAACATGAGGTTGTGAACCTCAGAATTTCTCAGATCCAAGGTGTGAGGCCAGCTATCCCCACATGCATAATCGGAGTGTAAATGGTTTGGGTTTTCAACCATTACACTCTACAGTCAAACACTCACTTCTAAATTGTTGGGAAAATGCCAAGTAGCTCCCTACGACGCAGGAGTGTGTGTTAGAAAACCAACAGGCGGCGGGCGTTTATCAGTCTCTGAGGGTTCCACCTACTTAAGGTCGAGCCCGCCACTGGACGGTGTGAGGTCACCTGGATCTGCTTTGTCTCCTCCCTCTTGGAGGTGAGAAGCAGGAGAGCAGGCTACACGGGTTGAGGTGCGTATTGTGCGATGGTGAGGTAAGGATGCAGATGTGCAAAGCCCTCAGCCGCTCCCGACCTCCCACCCTCTCCCAGACAAGTGGTCCCTGTGTGGGCCATGGCGGCTGAGAGTTCATTTCTATTTTAAAGATGGGAGAAACACAATGAGGCTACGCCTACCCAGGCTACAGTGCCATTTCCCCTGTTTTAGGCAGGAGCAACATCAACTCAGATTGGGGATGCTGGCTGTCTGCTGTGGGCCAGGGCCTGAGACTGGCAGGCGTACACAGATAGAGGCGTCTGTGATTAATAACAAAGGGCTCAGTCAGTTACTGCGTTGGCAAGCAGACACATTTTTCAAACCGCTGGGTTACCAGGGTGAAATACCTAGAGCGAAGCTGTCAAGGCACAAGCCCTCCCTGAGATCTTGAGATGCCAGCGCACCTTTTCCCTGGCAGCCGCCATGTTTTTCTCCCTGGGGGGGGGGGTCAGAAACAGGACAAAGAAAGTGCATCTCCAAGGACGTGCCACTCCCTGTAGCTGATCTGTCCAAACCTGAAAAGTGAGAACTTCTCCCCACAGCTGACTCTTTCTTCCTGCCTCTGACCCCAGCTGCCTCCACGGCCAGGCTGCTCCGGGGCATCCTCAGGCACCCAGCGCGACCGGCCACAGCCCTGTCCAGTAGCCCAAATTCGGACAGCACGAGGGCCTGTGAACAGGCATGCGGCAAGGTTATATAGCCAGGGTGACTCAACCTCAGGAGGGGTTGATTCAAAGGGAGGTGACACAGGGTGGAGGACAGCTCCAGGAATAAAGAAAATTATTAAGGAAGCCGCAAAAAGCAATGCATCATCCTTTGCTTTCCTTTTACCCACGTGTGGGGAGAGGCCCTCAGTGACCACAGAGTCTCCCTGACAACAGGCTGGTTTTCAGGAACCACTCATTTTCCTTCGGGTGACAAAGGTCTTTTGGTATTTGCATGAGAAGGGTTGTTGGAAGCCAGGGCCTCTGATGGTGGGGAGGAGA